CTTGCCGCTATAATGGAGCCGGGCTGAGAAGCCAGGCGACTCGAGGCGAGGGTGCTGAACCTCGCATGCGGAGCTTGCCGCTATAATGGAGCCGGGCTAAGAAGCCAGGCGACTCGAGGCGAGGGTGTTGAACCTCGCATGTGGAGCTCGCCGCTATAATGGAGTCGGGCTGAGAAGCCAGGCGACTCGGGGCGAGGGTACTGAACCTCGCATGCGGAGCTTGGCGCCCTACAATTTATGTGTCTAGCTCGTGTGATAAGTCTGGGTTAAAGCGGAATGGTACCTGATGCTTTGCTGCATCGCTAGTCGTACTAATAACTGATGCCTCGCTGTCTTGGCTGTTTGCGGAGAGCTATGTGGCGGTGCTACCTAGGGCTTGATAGTGTAGCTGCTGTTAGGAGGTGTGTAGCGAGACTGCTGTCAGGAACTGGTCAGCAGGGTCGCTGAGAACTGAGCATCGAGCTGCTAGCAATAGATGAGCAGCATGACCACTGAGATCTGGGCAACGAGACTCCTGAGGGTTGAAATACGAGGCTACTCTTTCAATCCGGCATACCAATGTCACCTCGGGGATGCACCATCATGTGTAGTGTCAGTTCTTCATGTACTTTAACTCTGCCCCTTCGGAATGAATATCACTTCTGCATAGTGTCATGCCAACCCCCCCCCCCCCCTCCTCTTTTTTTTCTTAGAGGAGGCGAAGAAGGAGAAAGATGGATGTATAGCCGCTGAAAGCTGAGATACATAGACGTTGGGAAGAGTTAGGCGACCCAAGTACTAACAAAAACTAGGTAACACGGCTGGCGAGAGCTGAGCAGCACGACTGTTGGGAGTCAGACAACGTAACTGTTGATGACTAGGCTTTGCGGCTGCTGAGCTAGGTCGTGTCGCTGCTGGAGGCCGAGCTGCACGACTACTGAGAGCTGGGCAGTAAGACTAGCGGGGGTCGGTCAACATGAATGTGAGAGTTGATTATCGAGACTTCCCGGGATTGGTCAACACGGCTGTTGATGACCGCGCAACGCAGTTACTGATGGCTATTTCGAAACGCTTTACGAGTAGTAGTAGTAATGTACTACTCTTCTCCCTCCCTCCCTTTTTTTTTTTGAAAATATCGAGTGATCCGGACCGCAATGTGTGCTCTGAAAGCATATTTGTTGAGCAGGGCTTGCGGCGCGCGAGCATCAAATTGCTGATTTTTAGTTTGCAAAATTGGGTCATTTTTGTATTGTAGTGGGAGCCCATTAAGCACCAATTTATATGAGGCCCAAATCGCATACGACAAATCCAATTTCTTTTTTTATGTATATTTTTGTTGTTGAACGGCTGATCAGCTAGTTTATTCTTATAAAGATTGGGTCATTTTTGTGTTGAAACAGCCCATTTAAACATTAATTGGTTAGTGCAGCCCATTTGTAACATATGAGCCCAAGTACCACCTGGGGCCCCATCCCTCTTTTCACTTTTGACCTTTGAGAAAAAGTCCTCTAGTGCATCTCGTTCTCACCTTCCCATCTCCAGAAATTGAAATGTCGGCCTCATTAACTGGGTTGCTCTCGTCAAGGATGCCGGCTGTAGAAGAAAAATCGGAGCAATGATGTTTGTCGGCAACGCTGAAGGAGCTCCGCCGCTGCTTCACTCTTTTGTGTGTGTGTTGTACGTGTGTGGGAGAGTATCAGGCGGTGGCGAGTCAAGAAGATAATGGGTTGGCGGACATTGCTTCGCCGGAGCTATGGTGTCGCCAGACGAGGGCGATTGAGTTGCAAGCGGCTCGTCGGATGAGGGTCTCCAGTACAGGGATAAAGTTCGACGACGATGGTAGAAACAGAGTTGGCGGCGATTTGCACGAACACAGGAGCCCGACGTTCGACTTTTCTTGAGTTCCGGTGGCGGTAGTTCTTGGCGATGACGATGGCGATTGGTGGTGCCCTGGGTCAGGTCGGCGGTGGCTGCTGTCCTGCGTCTCTCGCTGAAGGTGACCGGAGGAGGAGCAGTCGATGTCGGCTGAGTTTAGAAGCTACTGGTGGTGCTTGGGGCTGTTGTCGCAGCAGCTCGTCAGAGCTGAGGGAGATTTGCCGGAGATGGTGATTGTTGCCGGCAAGGAAAATGAGGCTTGAAGAAGGTTATGGATGTTTGGTCTCCTGGAGACATGGAGCTGAACTTTGGGAAGATAACTGGACAAGGTGGTCCCACCTTTTCTACTTTTCTGCAGCTATTGGTCCTTCCTTTTTGGATGATCCATCGAAGTGCAACATGTACAAGCACTGGTGGGGTCCAGTCACCCTTCCCATTCTTCTTTTTGTTTTTTTTTTGTAGGATCAGAATTGACAGCTCATTGTTTTGTACGATTTACTGTAATGTGAGCTGTAAAAATATCCTCCTCTTTTTTACGAACTCATGCTTTTGTATGAAACTCTTTTTACAGATCTGCCCTTTTAGTAGAACACTAGAACTCCTCTCCACCTTTTTTTTTCTTTGAAAATTATTTACTGTAATGGTAACTAGAATGTTGGGGTAACTCTAAAATGGGTTGAAAATAACTGATCGATGGAAAGCATACGAAAATTAATATACATTCCCCTTTCTTTTTATTATTTTTTTTGGCTCAAAAGAAACATTTATCACCACTTTTCTATAGCTTTGAATGGTAAATTGTAAGGGTAAAACTAAAGTGGTGGTCAAAAATATAATCTGTTTGGTTTTGATATGTACAAGAATAACTATAGTATATACAACTCAAACAAAACTTGTTCATAGAAACTCATTACTGAATGATATATTGACTCAAAGTAGGTTAAGACTCGTCAAAGCTTCTCCTCCCTTTCTTTTTTTTGAAGGTTCTGTAAAATGTACAAATTTTACAGCTGTGCTTACAACTAGTTGTTGCAGGGAGTGAAGCTTTCACAGAAAATCTTAACTAAACAACCATTTTCTGGTAATTTGAACTTGATGAAAGGATAAAAACTTGTAGAAATTTCTTTTCTCCTCCCTTCTTATTGGATAAATCAACAAAATAAAAACGAAAAACTGATCTGATGAGTTTTTTTTCTCATAAAACCTTCTTTTCTCTACAACTTGCTCAAGAAAACCATCAAAAGATAAACAAGAAATTGATCTAAAGAAATTGTCGTCTTCCTTTTTTAAGCTTTTGAAGAAAACATTAAATAGACAATTTCAAAGGAGTTTTCCAAAGGAAATCATAAACTGAAAGTGATTTAGTTAAATAATAACGAAAAAATTCTTCTCCTCTCAAGTTTCTTGGATAAAAACACTGATATGTGAAGAGAGATGGGGAAAAATTCGTAAGAACCTTTTCCCTACCTGATCTTGCTAAGATTAACCATCAAAATATAAGTAAGAACAGTCTAAGTTGGTGTTTTTAAACTTGAGAGATGATCAAAAGGACAAAAAACGTTCAGATCTGGAGATCTAAGCTAAAAACGTTGATAGATCTAAAATGTCTTTGCAAGCTTCATAAATATTCAAATGAGTTAAGAACTCAACAGATCTTGAGATCTGAGCTTCAAGACAAAAATAGATCTACGGATCTGAACTGAAAATGGAGTAGATCTTGAGATCTAAACGATGGTTAAGCAGATCTGAAAAGATCTTGGCAAGATCCAAACGGATCTGAACAGATCTTGGCCAATGCTAAACAGATCTGAACCAAGTGGTGCCAGAAATGAACAGATCTGAGAAGAACCTGAGTTGAAGCACAACAGATCTGAACAGATCTAGGAAAGAACAAGATGATGGCTGCTTGTTCGAGTCCGGGATGGCACCAAATGATGCGACATCGACCTCCGGCTAGCCTTCTCGTCTTCTGCTGCGGCAGAGATCTGGATATCACAGTGCAAACCCGTTAGAGCCGTCCCGGGGACTGTACCCCGGAAGCGGACTCCGACGGTCAAGTTAGATCAGCTAGAAGATCTGAGATGGTCCTCCATAGCTGGAGAGAACCATCTTGGTGCTAGTGGTGGTGTATGGTGGCTGACGGCGGTGGGTGGCGGCTGAGCCACCCGGCCGGAGTATAGGGCGGCAGTTGAGCCCAGGGGAAGATCCTTCTCCATGGAAGAGGTACTGTTCATTATATAGGGGACAATTAGGTCAGGCCTTGGGCCAGCCCAATTCAGGCCCAACTAGCAAGGAGTTGGGCAAGGCCGCCCGGAGGCGCCGGGCGGGGCTGGCGGGCGCGCCCCAGGCAGGGCTGGCGGGCGCGCACCAGGAAGGGATGGCAAGGGAGTGCCAGGCGAGGGACCGCATGGCCGGGCCGGTAGGAGAGTCCCCAGCAAGGCTGGCAAGGAAGTCCCCAGCAAGGCTAGCAAGGGAACGCCAGGTAGGGCTGGCAGGAGCGCACCAGGCCAGGCTGGCGCTCTAGATCAGTCGAGGCCATGCTAATGGACCATATATCATCAGTGGGTTAAAAGAAGGGCTGATTACCCACGAGAGAGAGAGAGAGAGAGAGAGAGAGAGTTTCAAATACATGGTTGGTAATTTTCGAGAGATACAATGGCCCGTTTTATTTGATTTTCGGACAACGACTTCCTGACATTGAGACCTTCATATCGAATACTTTGGATTGTCCAGATCAGCTCAGGAGGCTTGGGAATCCTCGCTACTATTTGTTGGACAGTAGCAGTTTTTTTTGGTGATATTCATCCTTTCTATTTTGCTTATTTGATGTCATACGTTTGAAGTAAATTTGTTCCAAGTATATGATTACTATATGAGTCTAGTACATCAAGAGAATACTTTGTATTGCTCAAATATCTGTGACAACGGATTTGAAGTGACTCAAAACTAGTCTGGTGGTTTAACTCTCATTTCTTGAGAGATTTCCATGCTAAAATTTTGGTGTCTCATTATGGTTGATTACTTCCTGTTTCTGGCGGATTATATTGGTCATATAACTTTTATTGAGGTTGTTTTGTTGTAAATGAAAGTATTTTGCATCCTCAAAGGCTCATTCAAGACCGGGAAGTTTAGTCAAACAGAGTTTAATGGTTTTCATAGCAACACTTTATATGGGTATGTTACTCACGTTGCTTATAATATATGCATGTTCATCTTTAGCAATTCTAAAGTCTAAACAGATTCCAGAATCTAAATACCAAGTAGCTCATCAGAAAGCTTTAAAGAATGACGACTTGCAACAGCCAGGAATATTAACTATTGAGAAGCTAAAGCAGCATGAGAGCAACTACTCTATCATGACAAGAACCGGCAACCCCAGGTTCATGATAGCTTCCTCTGCTACAACCTCCGCTTATAGGGAAATATGTGCTTTAAGCACTGCCTTCCACATTCTTATTATGTTTTTCAGTATTGGAAGTCTAAGGGCCTCTAAGTCGGATTACAAGTGGTCATTGTCAGTGATTCTCATTACTCAATTCATCAGAATCATACTGGGCGCAATTGCCCCAATTTCTAGATGCTTTGCATCCTTAAGCGTTAAGATGTCCCTAAAATGGATTGTGAACCATGTCAAAGTCTCTAAGGTGGAGAGCTACTGGACTCAGAAGTTAGATGATTGGAAACAGAGTAGCATACCATTCCCATACAATAGACGCAAATGCAAGATTGTCATCCAAAGTTCGAAAAATCTCTTTCTCAACATTTGTATAGGATTCCAGAAGACAGTCGTGGTAGATTGCAAGATGATAATAGTAATTCTAATTTCTTTGTGATATGTGTGGTGTACAATCTCCATTGTGGGAAGTGGTTAAAGGCCATGTTCAGAGCCTCTAGTATTAACTTGGTACAAAATACTGAGCAACTAGGAAATGATAAAGATCTTAGCCGATATGTTTTGCAACTTCAAGATGATATGGAGTTTGCTGAGAGAACATTGAAACAAATTTCAAAATCTGTTAACCGCTTGATCCAAAATGCTGAAAAACAGCAGCCCAAGAATCTTATGAAGCTTCTAACAGAATCTACAGGTTTTGAAGGAGTTGAAAAGTTTGACATCCATCATGTTCAGCCTTTACTTTCAGAAGAATATCTCCATTGTTAGAGCTTGACCCTAGTAACTCTGACTACCATTGCCATGTCTCTTCCTAACATCCAAAAGAACATTGTCGATTGCTTGCTGAGTGGTGTGAGGGAAGGTCTTGTATATGTCACACTTGTGGAAGAAAGCATTAATATTACCTATGATCAGATAAGCATTCAAAAGGCGTCTAAAAATTTGCGGTTAGAAGTTGAAGTATACCACAAATGGTTAGGAAACAAGCTACCAAAATATGCTCCTAAAGCAAATACAGCTGGACAGATTCTTCAATGGTTGAGGCATACAGGTAAAAACATTGTTAGTGACGTGGAAAGGACGGATATTGGAGTCCCAAATGGAAGTCTATTTATGCTAATTCAATGTATCGAATCACTGAAACAATCATGTGCTCCTATCATGAGAATATAGGCCAGGTTAGCCAAGAAGAACTATTTGCAGAATTATTATCAATGATTGCTGACATTTTGGCTGTTTGTCTCACCAACTTACCCCAAGTCATAGCAATGAAATGTCACACAAGTGTCATAGAGAAAAGGGAGGCAAGTGTGTATGCTGCAGCCCAACTTCTTGGTGAGACTATGCAGATAATTAACACCCTTCAAGATCGAGAACTTCCAAGCTTGAATCCAAACGACATGGCGTTTATTGACAAGTGGCGTTCTTACTTAAAGGATCCTTTTCCTTAATAAATGAAATTATGTTTTTCATGTAATTAGGTATGTTTATAAATTAATATTTATATGTAATTTGTATTCTTAAAAGCAGTGAATTATGTCACATTTATTTGCATTCCACTGTTTAATGCATGTGATTTCCTTAGATACTTGTTTTTAAGACATTGTTGGAACCATGTTATCATGTTTCAAAGTGTTTGCGAAGAAGTTATAATTCTCTACCTACTTTATCAAGTTTTCCATTTTTATTTAGATAGAAGACAACTGCAGATGATAGCTTGGTTCAACTTTCAAGGGCTTCAACACTTACCAGATGACTGGCTGGTTGTTTTAAATTCATTTTTCTTTGAGTATTGAACAACCATATGTATAGCCGGATTCTAAGAAAGTCAATGGTAACTTCCCTTTTATCAAGTATTGTATGTAAGAAGTCATTGATAACTTCCCTTTTGTTAAGTATTGTATCTCTTTTTTTAAATTGATATTTGTATGTAACAAGGACCTCATCCTACAAGCTACAAACCAAACTCGTCATTGTCTGGGGACGACTTGGTAAAACATAACATTATCATGGATTTTCTTGTATTACTGGCACTCAGACTCGCCATCAGGGAGGAAATGAATAGGAGGGGCTTAATCCTTACAAGATGGATAACAAGTGGATTGTGGCTTGTTTCGCTTAATGTTAAGAAACTTGTGGGTCATATTGACCCGAATACTATCTAGTATAATAACTGAGAGTATAAGTATCTTGAGAAACTAAAGGATTATTAAGGATAATGGATTATCCGATCCATTAGACACACACAAATAGATAGATTAAATCACGTTGCAAATACTTAGTCAAGAGTATAGTCAAATACCTAGTTTAGCTGATATTCATTCTCCTGTATATAAGGATGACTCAACTGTACAATTAGCCTATATAAGGCATACGTATCTATGAATACAAATTATCACTTCCAGTATCAATTATAATCTCTATATGGTATCAGAGATCAAACTCCTCTGAGCCCTAATCAATCCCTAAATTCTCAATTGATTCTCAAAACCCTTTCTTCCTGTTCGCTTAGCTTCTACCATGTCTTCAGTCATTGAAGTCACCGCTCAAACTCACTTCCCAATTAAACTCACTGCAACCAATTTTCCTGTTTGGCGTAAACAGGTCATGGCAACTCTAATTGGCCTTGGACTCGAAAATTTTATCGATGGGTCACAAGAAACCCCATCCAAAGTTCTCTCCACAGATGCTACCAAACCAAATCCAGAGTATCGACTCTGGTACAGGCAAGACCAAATTCTACTTGGTGCTCTACTCAGAATTTGTTCAGATACAATCGAACCCATCGTCTCTTCTGCAGAAACCTCTCGACAGGCCTTCAAAAAACTGAGTGAGAGCTACGCAAGCGTCTCTCGCTCACAAATTATTTCCCTTAAATCAAGACTCGCAAATAACCCAAGAGGCTCTAGGCCCGTTGCTGATTTTCTCAATGAGATGAAAACAATTGCAGATGAATTAGCCCTTGCTCAAAGCCCAGTGGATGAAGAAGACCTAATAGTTCACATTATGGGCCAACTTGGTGAAGACTATGTCCACATATCTGCCGCTTTAAAGACCCGAGACACCACAATCACTTTCCCTGATTTGTTCAACAAGCTTGTCGATCACGAGAGAACGTGTAACACACGGTTCCTGGTACGTATTTAAATTCAAGTACATTCATGTTTTGCTCTGGGACTCGGCGAGTTGGAGGCCCAACTCGTCGAGTAGACTCGACTTTTGATCAGGGGGTTAAGTGACCTACTCGATTTTGGCTATGAACTGGACTTGAGTTGACCCTTGTAAGGGAGGGTTGTGAGTATGAATTAGTAATTGAGAAAGGTTTGTTGTGTAGGGATTGAGGAGTTGAGACGAATGGATTTCCGTACCGAGGACTGTGCAGACACTACACGACATCGAGGTGAGTTACCTTCTAGTAGCAGTGGGTTTACGGCCACAATGTCGGCCCACTAGTAGGAGTTGTTGATAGATGATTGTCTTTGTGATAATTATCTACGTTTGCTACTATCTGACGTGTTGTATGTGCTAGCATGATAGGTTGTATGTGTTAGTGGTAGTAGGAGGGGAGTAGCCCCCGAGTTCAGTCGTTAGGATTGAAGGGTAGGTCGGCACCCCAGATATGCTTGACAGTATGTTTATGTTATGTTTGTGTGGTAGTAGTAGGGGTGAAATAGTCCCCGTAACCGGTTACGATAAACCGAAGGGTAGGTCAGCACCCCAGAACGACTTGACATGGGTAGGTCATTGTGACGGTCGTCAAAATTCGAGTCGGTTTTGGATTTGACTAAACTTAGTTGCACATATAGGCACTACACATACTAGACTTAGTAACTAGAAGCTAAGTTATAACCTACTAGAAACTTGGAAACAATTAGAATCAATGGATAGTGTGCATAGATTTCACATTGATATGTGAATTCTATAACTACTTAACTGTAGAGACTATCCATATTCGGGTCATTCTTTGACTCGAACACCCTTTTCATGAATCATATACACGCATCATGCACTTGACCTAGTGGTAGAAATGAGGTCCTAGTCTCGTTGGAACTTAAGTTAGAGTTGAAAACTAGGACTAGTATACTTGATTCCTCAATTTCGCTTCAATCTCGAAACCACTACATAGAATGCCAATAAATCGATAAAAATAAATTACAAACATTATTTTTAACTAGAAAAGAGTTATGAAACTCTAACATAAATTGAAATCTCAAATAATTCAATTTATCTTGATATCCAAATATTTATTAAATCTCAAGACCCTAAAAACCCTAAATGCCCTAAAAACTCACATTTATAAACTTTAACCTTAAAAATTCTATAAAATAATTATGAAGCTTCTAATATTATCTTATAATAATCAAAATTATGAAAATGAATTCAACGAAAATAAATTTTAAACTATCAACATTTATTCCTAATTAACAAGTTAAATCAATAATTTAATAAAACAAATCATGGCTTAATTCACACTTTATAAAAAATGGGAAGAATTTATAAAAATTGAGGCAAATTTATATAAATTAAATGGAAGAGGTAGGGAGTCTCTCTCCTCATTGAAAATCGGATCTCCCTCCCCATATCTCTCCTCTTCCCAACACAAAATCATTCTTCTTCTCTCTCACACTCCATCTTCCCTCATTCTCTCTCATTTCTCTCTCACACTCTCACACACATTTTTTCTCTTCCTCCCTCTATGAACCACGAAATTTTACAGCAAACAAGTCCAAGAACACTCATGATGCTCAAACTCTTCATCATCTAGTGGTGTTCATTAAGGTAGAACACGATTTCCTTTCATTTTCCTCCATGTTTTCAAGGTTTTTTCTTGCATTTCCTTCTTCTTCTACACCTTTCTCTTAGAAAATATGTGTGCATGTTCATTCACTTCAGTTTTGATGATGATGGTGGTAGGATTTCACCCAAAAACAACATGCATGTTGTAAATGGTGAAATCCAAGGACCTAAACCTAAGTCAAGATCATGAAAATGCACTTTTCTACAAGTTTTGGTGGAAAATCACCACATGCACTCTAAGTTTTCTTTCAAAAACAATTTTTGAACATTTCAAACTCATGAATGGTCTTCAAACAAACATATATGTGATGATCTTCAAGCTTAGATGCTAGATCATCAAAGTATGTTGTTAAAAACTTTCAAATATGTTCATGAAGGATTTATTTCCAAATAAATATCTAAAACTCCTTTTTTGACCAAATCCGATTTTTCCCAGATTCCCATCAACAAAATGAGATGTTCAACAAATTTGCAGAAAATAATTCATTTTTCTCGAATTATTATAATTGTTGAAATAAAATAGCGCAATAAATAATATAAAATACTTTCTGATGTCTATAAATCCTAGGTAAATTCGTGGATGACCCCTATGCTAAGAAATGACCCCAAATTAAATTTCATCGGTTTTTGTTACTGTTTAATATTGTTTTGAATTTTCTTTTTGTTTGTGCTCCAATAAATCATAAAAGTACTTTAGAGAATCTTAAAATGATATATAACAATTTTCGCAGTTGCTACCAGAGGTATAAGACTCAGAAAAATATTTTCAGAATTTTTCATAATGCATTCCTATTTTTCCCCGATTTTTGTATTTATAATGGCCTAAAAATAGAACAAATAGTTCTGCTCATCCAAAATTCATGAAAATTTACCAGAACACCTTGTAGTACATTAGGAGGCTACATAAAAATTTTGATGATTTTTCTCTTCTGTATACTATTTTTCTCCTATTTTCTAAGATTAAATACACTTAAATACAGAAAATCGGATTTCATTATATAAAAACCACATTTGGTATTTTTCCCAGATTATTTACTCTGTAAATGAAGTGTACAAAATTTTTGGTAATTTACTTTAACTGTTTAATAATTATTATTCAATTAATGATTATTTAAGAGGATTAAACAAGGAAAAATAGCAACACTAATTGAAAAATATCTTTTATATTTTTCACAGCTTCTATATATGTAATAACAGTGTTACAAAAATTTTGGACAATTTTGGAAACTGTTTTCTATTTATCTCCATTTTTATTAGAATAAATGCACAAAAATCATAAAATTGGGTTAAACAGTTTATAAATCTATTTTTATATTTTTCCCAGCTTAAGTATGTATAATGGCAGTAATATAAGAAGTTTGGGGAATTTTCTTAACTGATTGCTATTTTTCATGAATTTTTATCTATTTAGAGAATTAATTATAAGAAAATTGGTTATACATATCTATAAACCATGAAAATTTATCTGGAAGTCTTTTAATGTAGTTAGAACCAAAATCTGAAGTTTGGTAATTTTTATTAACTTTTTACTATTTTTCCATGATTTTATGATTATTCAAGTAATTAAATGGTGAAAAATAATTAGACAAATCAAAAAGTCAAGAAAATTTATCTTAAGGTCTTTGACTTCAATTAAAACTGAAATGCAAAGTTT